GTTTTTTTATTCTTGGATTTATTTCCCTTCAATAATTGAAACTTCGTTGCTGTCACTGGAGCTGAGAGCCGGCTCCAGCTCCGTGGCCACCGCCAGCTGAAAGCAGGTATCGGGGGTTTGTTTAGCTTCCATAATTGCAACATTGTTTCTTAGACTGCAGCTCAGAGCTGGGCTGTGGCAGGCGGGGAACATTGGCTTCCTCCATCACTGGAGCAAGCAGGCCTCCTGTTAGCTTCATCTGCCTGGCTGCCGGCCACCATCTTGGTTGGCAGTTAATTTGCATATCGCCCTGATTAGCCAATGGGAAGTGTGTCAGAGGTACAGTTAATTAATTACCATGTTTATTATTAGATAGGATTATTTTTAGGAAGATGAATCATTTTGAAGAAGAATGGTGGACGGACGGCAAGAAATAATATATTATATAATGCCATTGATTTTACTGGAAGAGCTTTAAGAAATAAAAGAAATTTTTAAAAATAAGAAAAATATTTTTTGAGATCTCTCACTTTTTAAAAATTATTTCTACCAGAGATAAAGAATGTCATTTGTTTTTGTCCACTGATTCTTTAGGATAGTAAATGAGCAGCTACAGCGGTCACTTGATGATTATCAGCACCGACTTTCCATCCAAAGAGGTGAACTTGAATCAGCCGAAGCACAAATTAAAATGCTGGAGGAAAATATAGGTAATTGCTTTTAAATTTTGTTTTTGCTAATCCTAATTTGCTTTGGCTAACAAACATTTCATTTATAGGTAAACTACACCTTAAGATGACTTCACAGGATCAAGAGGCTCATGTCATGAAAAAAACCATTGGTGTTATTGATAAAGAAAAAGATTTCCTTCAGGAGACTGTAGATGAGAAGACAGAACAGATTGCAAACTTGCAAGAAAACCTTGCTAATAAAGTATGTGCTTGTTAAATATTATTATGCAGCATCTGAACAGAAAAGTTTATTTCATTCTCTTTTTCAAGTATGCAGCTCTTATTGCCCATGTAGTATAAGTTAAGACCCAGGCCATATCTTCTAATATGTTTAAATTTCATTGTATCTCAGTAAGTTGAATCTTCAGAATTTCTATTTCTAGAATGTAATTTTATCAGACGTGATTACAGCAAACTCAAGGAAACAATTTAAGTTCTTAGTGTGAATAGAAGCATTCCAATACTTGAAATACAGTTGGGACATAGAGCAGTGATGGTGAATCCATGACGCGTGTCAGAGGTGACACGCGAACTCATTTTTTTGGTTGATTTTTCTTTGTTAAATGGCATTTAAATATATAAAATAAATATCAAAAATATAAGTCTTTGTTTTACTATGGTTGCACATATCAAAAAATTTCTATATGTGACACGGCAGCAGAGTTAAGTTAGGGGTTTTCTTTTTTTTTTTTTTATTAAAATATATTTTATTGATTTTTTACAGAGAGGAAGGGAGAGGGATAGAGAGTTAGAAACATCCATGAGAGAGAAACATCGATCAGCTGCCTCCTGCACACCCTCCACTGGGGATGTGCCTACAACCAAGGTACATGCCCTTGACCGGCATCAAACCTGGGACCCCCCAGTCCACAGACCGACGCTCCATCCGCTGAGCCAAACCGGTTATGGCAAGTTAGGGGTTTTCAAAATGCTGACACGCCGAGCTCAAAAGGTTCGCCATCACTGACATAGAGCTTTCATTTATAGCACCTATATAATAAAAGGCTAATATGCAAATTGTCCCCTTCGACCGGTAGTTTGACCAGGGGCAGGGCCAGCTGGCCAACCACCTGCGGCCCCTCTCCCCCAGCCAGCCCCGCCTCCTATCGGCCCCCCCCACCCGTGCAAGAATTCATGCACCGGGCCTCTAGTAAGTTATATAATTGGATTTGAACTGAGTAAATGTGATAAATTGTATAAATTCAACTAAAGACATTTCTATATAAATTGTTTAGAATCTCATATATTTTTGTAATTTCTCTAGGAAAAAGCTATTGCTCAGATGAAGGTAACGTTCTCAGAGTATGAATCTTCTCTGAAGTAAGTAATCAATGTAATGGCATCCATCTTCTTTAGAAATTTTTGGTGAATGCAGCTCTATTTAAGTAGCATCTATCAATACTTACATTTCCATTTTTCTATTTTTGCCAATGGCAGCAGTATTATTTTCTCAGTCTCTTGCATGAAAATGTTTTTATCTTTAACTTGCTGCCATCTTTTATCATCCACATCTAAGCACTATGTCTTACTATTTTTTTACATGCTACTTGCTCTTTGTTTTTATTGTAACTACCCTATGCAGGCCCTAATTATTAAAATATAGATTACTTTAGTAGTAGCCAGTCTTGAATTTATTCTAAGTCTAAACCTATCTTGAACAAAATTTTATATTTTATGTGTAGTCTCTTCAAGACAAAAGTCACTAATTATGTTTATTCTGTGTACCCTTTTATATTATACTAGAGGCCCAATGCACGAAATTCGTGCAAGGGGCTTGGCCCTCACTGCCACAACGGCTTGCCTTGGCCCTTGCAGTCCCGGCTTTGTCCAGAAGGTTGTCCAGCTGTCCAATCTAATTAGCATAATATGCTTTTATTATTATAGATAATAGTGGGAACTTAACCATTACATAAATATTTGCCAATAGACTCTGTTATTATTTTATTACTTGCCAAATGACTCTCCTAATACTTGAAAATCTTCTATTTTTACTTGACTTACAATAATAATTTATTTTATGACTTCAGTTGCTCATAATGATTGGTAGAGAGCTAAAATGTCTCCTTTACCTAATTAATCAGTATCTTAATGCAGTATTTATAATTTCTTGTGTTCTTAATATACTTAATTCAGAGTAAAACAGTTTTCTTTTAAATGAACTAAATTATTAAAAAAGCTTAGTTTTTATTTTTACATCACTCGTGTAACAGCCAACTAAAGGAAACTCTAACTAATCGGGACCGTGAGATAAACAGCCTCCTGCGCCAGCTTGATGCAACTAACAAAGAACTCGATGATGTAGGAAGATCTAAGGAAATATCTTGTAAGGAAAATAGAAGATTACAAGATGATCTGGCTACAATGGCAAGAGAAAACCAAGTATGAATACAATGCATAAACTTAAGTAGTTTTACAGTATACAGTTTTACAGAATATTCTTTGTTTGCTATATTTTAAAGCTTTAACTATGCTTTTTAAATTTTAATAATATAAATATCAAGATTAATAATTCTTTAAGGATAATGATGTTTATAAGACTTTTTTAAAGTGTGGTTTAGAATGCTGTATATATTACAGGGTGCCTAATGGGTACAACCGTGGTCTCCTCACCATTTTGGTCTTTATTGTAAGAACTATAGCTGGTAACATGGTATTTATTCTATATGGCAGAAATTGTTATTACCCTACTGGGTGAGGACCTCAGAATCACTTCCAGGGCAAAGTTACTATGTTTTAAAGACCCATGATACATTTTAATTATTCTTACTTCTAGTCGGCTTAATTTATCTACAGCAGTGGTGGACAACGTCCAGCCTGTGGGCCATTTAAGGCCCGCAAAATAATTTGATCTGGCCCTGCCAAGGAATAGGGGTGAGTTAATTAAATATTTGACCAACTATAGCAGGCTAATTTTTAAGTTGATAATTTTGTATGGCCTGTGAATGATAATATAAATATCCAGATGGCCCTTGGCAGAAAAAAGGTTCCCCACTCCTGATTTACAGGTATAAGTAAATTAATGAATATTTTAGAATGTCAAATACTTAAAGGTATTATTTTTGTTTGTGCTGTTTTATTAAAGGGTTATACTCAGAATACCAATAATTTTCCTATTGTAAATATTTTTTCTTTTTTTAAATTTCTTTCAACATTATTCCATTTAAAGCATATTGCTGTTAACATGAATTTTTTTCAGTGCCAGCATTTGACCAGATACATGATTACGAATGTTGTAGGAGGTATGTGGTAATATTTGGTTAAAAGTCAAGATCAGCCTTGCCAGTGTGGCTCAGTGGTTGAGTGCCGACCTATGATCCAGGAAGTCCCGGTTCAATTCCCAGTCAGGGCACATGCCCCAGTTGTGGGAATGTGGGGAATGTGGGGCATGCAGGAGGCAGCTGATCAATGATTCTCTCTCATCATTGATGTTTCTGTTTCTCCCTCTCCCTTCCTCTCAGAACTCAATAAAAATACATATTTTTTAAAAAGTCAAGATTGGCTCTGGCCAGTGGTGTTTAGTGGTTAGAGTGTTGGACTGCACACCAAAGGGTTTCGGGTTTATTCCTGGTCAGAGGCACATACTTGGGTTGCAGGTTCGATCCCAGCCCTGGTCTGGGCTTGTGTGGGAGGCAACTAATCTATTAGATTATTAACATACTAGAGGCCTGGTACACGAAATTCGTGCACAGGGGGGTGGTCCCCCTCAGCCCAGCCTGCACCCTCTCTAATCCGGGACCCCTTGTGGGATGTCCGGGACCTCTTGTGGGATCGGGCCTAAACCGGCAGTCAGACATCCCTCTCACAATCCTGGACCACTGGCTCCTAATTGCTCACCTGCCTGCCTGCCTGGTTTTCCCTAACTGCCCCCCACTGACAGCCTGATCATCCCTTCACCCCTAACTGTACCCCCACCGGCCTGGTTGCATCTTACTGTCCCCCCACCCCCACCGGCCTGGTTACCCCCAACTGCTTCTCCTGCTGGCCTGATCGTCCCTTACTAACCCCCCTGCCAGCCTGGTCGCAGCCATCTTGTGAGCGTGTGAGGATTAATTTGCATATTACCTCTTTATTATATAGGATGAGATTGGAAGTCTCACATCAATGTTTCTCTCCCTCTTTTTTCCCTCTATCTTCCACTCTCTCTAAAAAATCAGTGGAAAAAAAAATACCCTCAGGTGAGGATTAACAACAACAACAAAAGTTAAGATCAGTCAGGAAAAATAAATGCAAGCAATACTAAGGAACAGTTTTTCTTTTTCCTACTCTCTCTTATTCCCCAAATTCAAAAGTAGCCATTTGAATAGAAATAGAACTCATTAGATATTATGTTCACTTTAGATTTGCCTTCAATTTTCTAATTTATAGGAAATTTCACTGGAATTGGAAGCAGCAGTGCAAGAAAAAGAAGAAATGAAGAGTAGAGTTCACAATTACATAACGGAGGTGTCACGATGGGAGAGCTTAATGGCTGCTAAGGTAAAAAGGCACTATCTAGGTTTGATTTAAGACTGATTTTTTATGTTTCTTTATTATGCCTCTTCTATTAGATTATTAGCATATGAGATTAGAAGTCTTGCCTACTGTCTTTATGTT